GCAGGATGGAATTCAATCCTAACAGATATTTTCTACCCCATCTCTTGCCTTGTTTCCTTCCAACAGATGCCTTTTCTCCTGAGATTGAGCTTTTTTGCCCCCCTGAGTTTCAGTTTTCATTTCAGTCACATCTTAGCCATCCATCTTCCTCCTTCTAGAGAGTAAAGATTGTTGGCTCAGACAAACAACAACAAACCACAACCACAGCCAAACCCCAGGAGAGTTTTGAGAGCCCATTGACCCTGTGTTCTTTCCTTCTAGAGCTGGGTACTTGGATGAAGACCAGATGGAAATGCTGCTGGAACGGGCTCAGACGGAAGTCTTCTCTGTCAAACAGAAGCTGGACAATGAGTTAAAGCAGGAAAAGAAAAAGCTCCGCCAAAAACTCGTCACTAAGAGAAGACGAGAAATGATGCAAAAGGTACAGAAGGCATTACGCCATTTGTTCTTGATGTTGTGGTTCCTAAGTGCTGTCGAGTTGGTTCAGACTTACAGCGACCCTGTATTGGGATTCCCAGGAATGGCTGGTGGTGCTAACTGACCTTGCGATTAGCAGTCTTGAGTCAATTCTACAGCGCCATACCAGGACTCCATTCTTGCTGCAACCAACTGAGTGCCAGGCACCATGCCAGGCATTCAAGCTGTCAGAGAGCCGGGATCAGAAGCAGGCATCCTGATGGCCATCTGTGGTTGATTGGTAGTGACTGTTTTCACTGCTTCTAAAGGTCCAGCCTCAGCCAAGCAGAGGATCCTGGTGGATTAGTGATGTCTGCACAGGCCTGCGGATTGGAGTGATTCATGGTGGTGATGGTGGTGAGAGGCATTGACATTTCTTGATGGCTTACTTGGTGTTCTTGTTAATTGCAATAGGCTTCAACTCAGAGACACTATATGGAAAACAAAACAACGTTGCCCAGTCTTGTGCCATCTTCATGATCCGTGGTATATTAGAGCTCGTGGCTGTGCTTCTCACCTCACAGGGTTCCCTTTCTAAGACTGAATCAGACAGTATTTGGTGTTAGCTGATTTTCAGAAGTAGATCACCATGCCTTTCTTCCTGGCCTAAGACAGAGTGTTTGCTTAGACTGTTTAGCACTCTGCTGAACATCATGTACGATGTCTTGTTTCATCAGTAACAGTAACCATCTACTGCTATGTTCTTTTGGTGAAGACATTGTGACTTAGACAGATGTTGTTGTTGTTAGGTGCCATCAAGTGGATTCCAACTCATGGCGACCCTATGTACAACAGAACGAAACACTGCCCAATCCTGTACCAACCTCACAATCATTGCTACATTTGAGCCCATTGATGCTGTCACTGTGTCAGTCCATCCCGTTGGGGGGTCTTCCTCTTTTTCGCTGACCCTTCACTTTACCAAGCATCAGATCTTTCTTCAGGGACCAGTCATTTCTGATAGTACGTCTGAAGTATGAGAGACAAAGTTTGACCATTCTGACTTCTAAGGAACATTCTGACTACTTCTTCCAACACAGATTTGTTTGTTCTTCTGGCAGTCCATGGTACTTTTAATATTCTTCTCCAAAACCATTATTCAAATGCGTTGATTCTTCTAAGATCTTCTTTATTCACTGCCAAACTTTCACATGCATATGAGGATTTGAAAATACCATGGCTTGGGTCAGACGTACCTTAGTTCTCTTACTGATACCTTGATTCTTTAAACTTTAAAGGGGTCCTTTGCAGCAGATTTGCGTAATGCAATACATTATGTGATTTCTTGATTGGTGTTTCCAGGAGTGTGAATAGTGGATCCAAGCAAATTGAAGTCATTGACAACTTCAGTCTTTTCTCCACTTACTGTGATGTTATTTATCGGTCTAATTGTGAGGATTTTTGTTTTCTTTACACTGAGGTGCAACCCATACTGAAGGCTGTGGTCTTTGACCTTCGTAAGTATTTCAAAGCCTCTTCACTTCCAATAAGCAAGGTTGTATCGTCTGTATATCACAGGTTGTTAATGACTCTTCCCTCAATCCTGATGCCACATTCTGCTTTTGTCTCTTGGATGATTGATCCGAATGTAGATTGAATTTGTTGTTGTTGTTGTTTTGCAGTGCTGTAGAGTTGGTTCCAACTCACTGCTACCTGGTATAGGGTTTCCCAGGAGTGGCTGGTGTTTTTGAACCACCTAACTTGCAGCTCAAGCTAACCTTGCTGTCCAGCACATTTACCTGCAGCGTTATAGCAGAACTCCAAAGACTGAATAGGTATAGGGAAAGAATACAACCCTGGGACACCTTTCCTGATGCTAAACTGTTCAATGCCCCCTTGTTCTATTTGAACAACTGCCTTTGTGTAGAGGTTCCTCATGAACACAATTAAGTGTTCTGGAATACCCATTCTTCGAAATGTTATCCATAGTTTATCATGATCCACACTGTCGAGCACAATAAAGCACAGGTAAACATCTTTTTTTTTTGTATTCACTGCTTTCAGCCAAGATCCATCTGATGTCAGCAATGATATTCCTTGTTCTGTATCCTCTTCTGAATCCGGCTTGAATTTCTGGAAGTTCCCCCCGATGTACTCTTGTAACCATTTTAAAATTAGCTTCTGCCAACTTAATACTTGCATGTGACATTAATGATCTTGTCTGATGATTTCCGCATTCTGTTGGGTCACCTCTCATTGGAATGGACTCAAGTATAGAGCTCTTCCAATCTGTTGGCCAGGTAGCTGTCTTTCAAATTTCTTGTCATAGATGAGTAAATGCCTCCAGTGCTGCATCAGTTTATTGAAAGATTTCAATTTGTATTCTGTCAATTTCCAGAGCCTTGTTTCTTGTCAGTATCTTCAGTGCACCTTGGACTTCTTCCTTCAATACCATTGGTTCCTGATCATATGCTACCTCTTGAAATGTGGGGCACTGACTATTTAATTTTGATCCAATGACTCTGTGTATTCCTTCCATCTTCTTTTGATTCTTTCTGCATCATTCAATATTTTGCCCAGAGGATTTTTCAACATTTCAAGTTTGGACTTGAATTTTTTTTCTTCAGTTCCCTCAGCTTGAGAAATTCTGGGCATGTTCATCCCTTATGGTTTTCTAACTCCAGTTCTTTGTATATTTCATTATATATTTGACTTGTTTTCTCCATCTGCCTTTTGAAATTTTCTGCTCATCTGTTTTGCAGAGAGCCGATTTCAGAGTCTCTTCTGACCTCCGATTTGATCTTTCCTGTCGGTTTCATGACCCTTTGTTTTCTTTCTGTATGATGTCCTTGATGCCATCCCACAACTCTTCTGGTCTTTGGTCTTCAGTGTCTGAGGCATCAAATCTGTTCTTGGGTTGATCTCTAAATTTAGGTCAGATATGTGAGACAGGGTTGTATTC